AGGATCCGCTCCCCACCAGGTGTGCTTCACACAGTTCATGATTTTCATCGGGTTTTCGCACTTCCTGACTATTGCGTTTATTTCGTCCTCCCAGTCTAAGTTGGATTTTAGGTGCAGACCTAAAAATTTTATTGATTTGACTGAGGAAACCTTTTCCCCTTGTACCTTAATCTCCCATTCTCCTTCAGTTGTACCTTTTTTATCGAAGATACACAGTTGACATTTTTTTGGTGCTATTTCCAAGCCACTTTCCTTTAGATAGAGTTCAATGCTTTGTATGCTCTTTTCAACTTCTGCCACACCAATTCTGCTACATCTGTGAACTGAATAAATTGCAACATCATCTGCGTATTCCAGGATTTTGCAGTTCTGGTTGATTTTGGATTTCAGTCCAGCCATATAAAGTGAATATAAGGTTGGACTCAGTACGCTACCTTGGGGTAAGCCTTTGTATGTCCAGTCTTTGAGCTCTACCCCCCCGTAGTTTGCCTCTAATTCCCTTGCGGAGACCAGGTTAAATATAAAAGCTATCAGGTTTCCCGAAAAGCCAACGGCTTTGAGTCTATCCATCAAAGTGCCGCAGTGGACGTTGTCATATGCGCTTTTAATGTCTAAGAATACGGCCGATACTGTGTTCCGTTCTTCAAACGCTTTTATTATTTCAGTTGTTAATATAGCTAGGTTGTCTGTGCAACCCTTGTTTCGCCGAAATCCATATTGTGATTCTGAGAACTTCATATTCTTCTCTAGCCACCAAGATATGCGCATGTTTATCATCCTTTCTAGCACCTTGCACACGCATGACGCCAACGATATGGGTCTTACACTAGTCTTATCTGGTTTAGGGATAAAGAATACTCTATATTTTTTCCAATCATCTGGGAACACTCTTGCTCTTAAAATGTCGTTATAAATTTCTAGCAGGATTTCTAAGGCTTCCTTTGGTAAATTGCGTATTATGGCGTAATCTATTCCATCCCGACCCGGGCAGGATCGGACTTTGAGGTTTTTAATTGAGTAGAGGAGTTCTTGGATTGTGTATTCTGAGTCGAGGAATGAATCCTGATTTTCGTAATCGAATGCCGGTGCTTGATTGGGTTCATCCACCCCGGAGCATAGCTTTCCAAAGGTCGTTATGGCAGAATTAGTTAGTTCTTCTTTGCATTCTCGTTCCCGATCTGTCTTGTTAAATCTGTATTTTAATCTTTTCATTCTATCCCAGATATACGATGGGTTTGTGAATTGATTTAATCCATCGCAGAAGTTTTTCCAGTAATCTTGTTTGATTTCTCTCAATCTATTTTTTGCAATAACCGCTGCCTTTTTGTATTCCATAAATGTCTCTTCGGTTTTGCAGTATTTCCATTTCAGCAGTTTGGCTTTCCTAATTCTGGTAACCTTGTCGCATTCATTGTTCCACCATATACATGCTGGTTGTTTTTCTCTGTTTCCAGTTGTTCCATGTCCTCCGTTTCCGAAGTTATTTTGGCTTTTCCTTTTGGGGGTGGTATCTGCTACCTTTCCTTTAATTATCTGGATTAAATGGTCATACCTTTCCTTTACATCCCTCTCTCTGTTCCATCCATCATGGGTCTTAACTTCCCTGATTTTTTCTATAACTTTATCCATGAAGACATTCCAATCTGTGTGTTTATTGTGCAATCTTGAAGCCTTCTTGCTGCACTCCTTTGGCTCTATTTTGCCGTTATACTCAATGAAAATTGGATAATGGTCGCTATTCCATGGGTCTGTTCCAACCTTCCAGGTGTATACTAGTGCTGATCCTGGGTCCACAAAAGTTAGATCGAGGGCGGCATTGGAACCTGTGGCATCGGAGATATATGTCGGGGAGCCGTCATTAAGCAGCGTGATGTTTGTTTCCAATTCAGTGATGTTGTGATACAGGTTGTTGCCTGTTGTACAATTCTTTGAATTACCCCACGTGTGATGGTGGCCGTTAAAGTCTCCTCCAATCAGGAATTTTCCTTTGAATTGTGTGAAAAATTTTTCCCATGCTCTTGGCTCGATTTTCGTGTGTGGCTGCTTGTAACATGACACCATTAAAATTCGATCTTGACCCGTGTGCAGTTCAATTGCACACGCTTCAATTTTGCCGTCTCCATCGTATAAACCGTTCTTACGTGAGTATTTTAGTTTGTTACTTATAAAAATGGCCACTCCGCCGCCGGCTCTGTCGTACCTTTCTTTCCTCACCACATCAAACCCATTTAGGTGTACCCTTTGTGTTTCACCAAGCCAGGTCTCTGATAGCATTATAACATCTAAGTTTCGGCTCCTCTGTTGTAATTCGGGAAGCTTGCTTCTTAGGCTCCTACAATTCCACTGAACTATCTTAATTGGTTGGTACCCTTTGCCTTCCATTGAGATGTTCGTGTAGCTCAATGGCTTTCCACAAGTGTTTGACCATAGCTTTTGAATCCCCCGAGTTTATCACTAAATTGATTATTGTAACCAACACATTTTTGACATCGTCCTCCATCTCTATGGACTCCAACTCGTCTAACGATTTCTCTATCGCATTCTGGCCTTTAGAGCTGTTCCTTTGCTCATTCTTGTTTAAACCAGGGTCAGTAATTTGAGTTCTGCTGTTGTCCGTGTTCATCTTCCATTGTCTTCTCTCCGGATTCCATCCGATCGTTTGGTTCGGGACCTTGTTGTATTCTCTTGATTCAAATATATCCCATTCCTTTCGTCTGCTCGGAGTTTTGAGAACCGGGAAGTTCCTCAAATTTAGTTCAGCATACCCTCGGTGGCTTCCAGCTCCTACTGGGAATGCAGGGCTCGACCACTTTTCTACAATTTTTCGTGCTTCGAAAAATCCAACATTTCTATGTGCCATGATTTGGTTAATTTCTTTCTGTGTTTTAATAACGGGGCACCGCTCGCTGTTTGCTCTGTGGTCCCCGTTGCAATTCATGCATTTTGTAATACAAGTCCCTTCGTGTGTTGCTTCTCCACATGAGAAGCATTGTTTTTCCTTCTTACAAAATTTACTTATGTGGTTGAATTTCCCGCAGTTATAGCACTGTCGTACTGCAGCGACAAACGTGGCGACTTCAACCTTCATACTGCAGAAATACACGTAGGGGGGCATTTCTTTGGTTCTAAACGTCAAACATACTGCTCTCGACTCTTTCCATACCCATCTTTCTACCTTAGTTTCTACATTTATCTCTTTGGTTCTCATCTTAAGTCTAACTGCGTCCATTATATAGAAAGGTGCGGGATGTTTGTTCTGATTGTCCAAATTAATCTGTCGCCTCAAATTTTCTAAATCCATGTCCAATGGTACATCTTTAATGACACCCTTTTTGGCAACCATATATCTCGGTATGTATGCGGTTAGTCCTTCGCTTTGGAGTATGGGGCTGTCCAACACTTTATTTGCTTCTAGTCTTCCTAAGAAGGTCACTTCCCAAATAAATTGAGCGTACTGTTTAATACATTGGAACCTGATCTTGTGTTTGGACATGACATTGAAGATGTCAAATTGTCCCCACTTCTTCACCTTTTCCCTATCCTTGGTTGGGGAGTCAGGCTTCTTGGCCTTTATGTGAATGCTATACGGCCCTTTATCATACGTATTAAAACGTAAGTCGTTGAATTGCCCATTTCTATTGCTCTTGAAACCTTCTCCTAGCTCTTCTTTTCCAACATTTGTATCTTCATTTCCGAGGTCTCGTGCTCCGGATTCTGCCGTTTCCGTTCTTCCTTCTTCAGCCCTTTCCTGGATTTCCTTCTGATTCTGTATCTCTTTGGACTTCTGCTGGCTATTTGTGCTCTTCTTTACGACATCAGTTACCAGTTTCCTTGGTTTTTTACGGCTTCTAACGGTGCTAAATTGTGCCATCAGTTCCTCTTCTGACGACAGTTCAGGTCCTGTTTTTCCTGCCACCCTCTTCTTTTGTGTACCCGTCTTATTGTTTATCTCTGCATATTCCACATCCTCCATCGCCACTTCTTCCCCTGCTTCGTCGTGTATTCCTACCTCTTCCATTGTATCTGCTTCCATTTCTAGGCCACTCATTTTATATTGTGAGAGTCCCCGGTCGGAAGCACGTGTGCTTCCGGCCGTGTTTTTGCTCGAACCCCGCACTATACGTACTCGTAACTCGCGATAAGGAAACCAAAACTAATTCTGCAATATACGGAATCTTACTACTGTTGTCTAACACCACCGTATTAGAGTAAAAACCGCACTTTCTTCACAAAAACGAACGTAATAACACTTAACCTCACTAGCGTTCTCACTCTGACAGTTTCTAAAAAGACTGTGATTGATGCTGCCATCTTTGAAAAATATTCTGAACTATCCCATCACTTTTGATTTGAAGCTGAAGATGGGTCTCTGTCATTGTTGTATATTGCAGTACTTTGCTGCTGTACTGAGCTGTCCCTGACATTAGGCTCCAAGAGTTAAGGAAATAATTGAATACACACTATGGTTCCTCACAGAAATTGTACCACTACTTGCATTACTTGCACATTCAGAACAGTGTCTTCACCTCAGCTATATCATAATGTTTTCTACAGTCTCACATCATCAGTAAACTGAAATGTCCACTGTCTGATTCTCTTATGTATGGAAAGTGTAATACAAAGAGGGAACGTTAAATGTTGAGGAAGATAATGTTTTATTTCTGTATAAACGTGAAACACTTGCAGTTAATTGAGTGTAATGTTGCATTACTTTTTCACTCTTTATTCTTGTAACTGGAGAAGGTTGCAGTAGACGGATTTGCATGTGACTGAGGTTCCACTTCTGACAGGTGTTACTGTGCTGTGAAGTTCTCATCAGATGTCAATTTTCTTCCGAGTGTGAATGTGATACTGTATTTTGCACACAAAGTTTCAAGTTTATTATTACATAATGGCAGGAAGTGCATGTACCAGTGGTATAAGATGGCTATTCACTCTTCATTTTGTTAGACATCATCGGTGGCTGTCTAAGAGTAGTGTAGTAGTTCTTCCACACTCAGGTACTCCTCTGGGAACACCGCAAGGAACACCAGTGGGGACTCCACGTGGATCACGTGACACAGGAGGAGGAGATTCATCGGATACCCTTAGCGAAACGGATTCACAGAAGTCATTGCGAATGCGCAGGAAATTACCTTCCATTCCAACACATCAAGAAGCTGTATTGCTCCCTTCCAGCAAGAAAAGGTAAATGCCAATCTGCACAGATAAAGTAAGGTGAAGTTACAGCTGGCAGTTTGTTACATACGTTGTCATCTTTAAAGCCAAAGTTAGCATCTGCAAAGGATTTTTGTTGCAGTGAAATGTATGTTGTGATCTGTGCAGGTCATACTCCCCGTTGCGTCAGACTTCTCTGGATGGGATGTTGTCTCGAGTGTCTAACCTCATGCTGCCCCGACCAAGTGCCAGTGAGACAAATCTTCGCAAGGTTTCTCTTGGTGTGGACCCTGTGCCTCGACCTGGCTCTGCTCTTGGCCTTCTGCAAGGTTTGTTTCAATACCTGGAATGGTTCAGAGTGTATTGGCTCTTGAAAGTAGTAATGCAAGCAAGGCATCATGTGTGAGGGACACTCTGTATCTTTGGAATAATAGAACTATTACCTCAGTCTGGCTAACCAGGTACAACTAAAATTTTTATCAAAACATGAATTTTATGTATAAAGCTCATTTCATTTCGTATAACCTTGTGTGTTGATTACACTTTATACCCATACTATCTGATGTAACCAGTAAAAAGAATTAAAATAATTAGCTCTTTTGCACAGTGACCCTCACGCAGAGAGGAAATAAATGTGGTGATCTCTACCATAATGTTGCAGGCACTGAGCTATACAGTTCCTTGTTCATTCACATGCGTAGCCCTACCCCATGAATAGTTTCATAATTGAAATTGTATGGTAGTCACTAGGCTTGAACAAGTGAGTGCTGAAGCATCAGTGTTAGAGGTGGGATTATCAGCTCCTTGGACCTCTGAATGGTCCTCTCACGGAATTTAACGTTTCCCTGTGAAGCATCAGCACTGCTCATCATGCAGTGAGGAATCTCACAGTCTCTGCTTTTTTGTGAAGTTCCAGCATTGCAGATCTCCTCTGTTCCTCTGGTTTCTTGTTGTAGCCCATGTGAGCACTCTATGAGACATGCACAGGTCAGATACCCAACTCCTTTATATACAGTTCCCAAACAGTAAAGTCTTGATACTAAAAGTGTTGTTAAAGAAAACACACTGAAACATACACAGAGACATAGAGATGCTTGTAGACAGAGAAAGAAATGTGTATACGCATGTGCACACATACAAGAGAGAGACATGTGCAGAGGGAGAGAAGGAGATACACACAGAGAAATGGCTACAAGCAGGGACACACACACACACACACACACACACACCCAGACAGATGCACACTGAGAGACATACACAGAGACACAAGTGGGGAGAGAGACATACACGTGAGAGGTGGTGACAGTGACACATGCATTTGGAGGAGGGAGGGGGAGGGGGAAGAGACAGAAGTCCACACACACACACACACAAAAGGGAGAGAGAGATGCACACATGGAAAAGAGAGAGAGAGAAAGACACAACAGTGTCAGTTGTCAGTTTTTCCATAAATTGCTGAATCCAATTTCTTATGTGTTTTTCTGTTCGCAAATGTAATACAACCTTCTTCCCTTCAAGAAGCAAGATACAGAGGAGATTTTAAAGGGTTCTGACGGTGCTGGATGACACACAGAATTACTGGGGTTTTGGACTCTTTCCATCATCCAGAATTCTAGGTAATAGAAGACACGAAGTTTCGGAAAGTGGATCTGTAGGTGTCTTCCTTTCTCACCTGAAGATGGAAACAGATCCAATTTCCGAAATGTCGTGTCCTCTATTGCCTAGAATTCCAGATGATGGAAAAAGTCCAAAACCCCAGTAATTCTGAAGATACAGAAGGTTTACAGTTATGCTTTGTTGTGCTTCTGTAGCGTCAAGTGTGGTGAGCAGTTCTGGAATGCGAACTGCCACCTCTGGAATGACTGGAGCCACATCAGTGTACTCATCACCACTGGCCGAGTTGGCATCCTGCCTTCCCCCAGATCTGCGACATTTACTGAATACACCTGGCATGGCAGACAGCATTGCTTGTGGCAAGCAGGTGTGTTCCATTAACCTGACTCAGAAATAAATTTCAATTGTGTGAGCGGCAGAGTAGACATCATACTTTCTTACTGTAAGTGTATGGAAGGAGACCTGTAGGTACGCTATCATTCCTAACCTCTTGCAACAGGTACTTTATGGAACTGCTTGGACTTGCACTGTACATGAACTGCCACAGACATTTCTTCTAGTGTTTCAGCCTTTGGATCTTGCTTTAATGTCTCGGTTTCATGTTTATCTTTCCTTGCTCACATCTCAACATTCATCACAAACTTCATCTCTGCTATATTGTAGTTAAGGTTCTCCTGACATCTCTGTCTTCTTGGCTGTAACACCGTGTAGCCTGGAGAGCTTACTGCCCACTTCTGCTGTTTTCTTGAACCCAGCCAATGGATGCGATATGTTCCTCCAAAATGGGCCCTCTGAAGCCAGTACTCATGATCTTTGCCCCTTTTAATCTGTTTGTATGTCCTTGAATCATTTTTAAAGTTTTTGCAGCATGTGCCAAAGAAGGTAGATAAGCAATACATTTGATGTAGTTTAAGTTTAACCTTGACATTTCTTCTGTAATTTTGTCTCAGATGATTTATTGAAATTTGTTACTGAAATAAGAAAGGCTTTCAGCTTTCCTCAAAGTGTTGGTATGAATAATAATGGTCGTTCAGCCAGTTCTGGTCATTGTGCTTTTGCCCCAGCTGCTTGTATGCAGTGCAGGAGATGTTGTGTCCATGTCTGACAGAACTGTTGGAGGATAGAGTCATCAGTTTTGTTCCGCATCTATTCAGCGTTACCCTTCTTTATGCCAAGTGCAAAGGAAATCAGTTTTCTCAAGAACAGCTCTTTCTGTGCAAGAAGATTTGTGCCTGACATGAATGAAATACAGATCTGATTTATATCTGCAACTTTCATGTGAAACATTTTGAAATAAGGAGATTATTTAACATAGTACAATAAAGATTGAGGACTGTGCAATGTGAAAATATTTACGTCACTATTATCACTTGAATTTTATTCTGACACTAATAATCATCCTTTTGTGTGGAGCATGAGGTTCTCATGGTGGTGCCATGTAGCTTGGTAGGTGGATACCAAGGTCTTGGCCACTGCCACATCCCCCCCCCCTCCACTATAGACAGAAACAACAGTTTTCTCTGAAATGTTGGTCTCTGTGTACCATACTTCATTGTGTCACGTTCCTGAAGATGTAATCTGCATAGTCCTTCCAGATTTTAAGTACATTTATCTTAAGCAGATAACATCTGGTTCAACAATGTCAGAGAAGGAATTGCTAGAGTGAAAAGATTGATTTGTATTAGCAGTGAAATATGAAAGATAGGGAGGGATGCATTTGGAAAATACTGTGTTTTCTCCATAATTTATGCACCCCTACTTTTAGACTAACTATTTGAGAAAACAGAGTTAAATACCATATTTTTACATTCAACCTTCAGCCATAAATTTGTTATTAAATAGATACAAATGTAAGACAGACAGTAGGATTTTTTATTCAGTGTATATGTATTGAAGTCTTGGAACTCAATGAAATGAGGTTACATAGGTGTAGAATTCTTTCCTCTGAATGTATTTTTCCAAAGCCTCGAAGGTTTTTGAATTTACCGAACTTCTGTTCTTAAGATCCCATTGAGGCTTTGCTGTAGCCCAGGTGATTAACAGCTGTCTGGCTGCAGAGGCCCAGGTTTCATTCCAGGGAAATCCAGTGAACAGATTGACACTGGGGGAGGTTATTCTACAGTCATTTTGGTTTTCCCATCCCAGTCATTATTCCATTAATGTTCCATACTAACATATCAGTGGGGGCTAGTACTGTAGGCCCATTTTAAATTTCAGTGCCAAGGGACTGAATCTGAATTTAATCCTTGAAGGAGGATTAGCAAAATTTGAACAGAGGAGTATATGGATCTATGAGATAAATTTTTAATATTTGATCAGCATCAGCATTCTTTTCAGCCCTTCAAGTGTTATGTGTACTTGGCCAGTTAAGTATACTCAAACTTCCTCTGGGCTGATCTTTTATCACATTTGGAGGATTTGTGTAGTCCAGTATCATCTGTAGCATTGTTTAAGTGACATTGCAATTTTGTCACCTAATCTTTCCTTTTGTTACGCGTAGCTACCTACATACATGCATAATCTGAAGGAGCAGTTGCGTGATGAAATAAGGGCCACTACATCAGATCGCCGTCGTTTACCTGGTTTGATGGACAAGGATCGTGAGGCAAGACTGCGCAGAGAGAGGGACAAATTTGAGGCACTTCGAGATCCTTTAAAGCGGTGAGGTTTTTATACACTTACCTCATATTGGACATATATTACACTGTTGCAAGGGCATGTGCATGGTCCAGCTGATTGAGTATTGCAGTCTCTCAGTGATAAAAGCCGTTATTTTAAGCCAGCCTGTAGCAGCTGTGGTTGTGGAGTTCTGTTCACTGCTGTATACAGCCTTGATATTATGCTTTCTTCTTGTCACTTATATATAAACATTGATCCTAGGAGGGTCATTATGGTCCCAAGATTCACTCACATGGTTGTGCTATTCACACTTATTCAAGGTCTCAGCAGCTCTGCAAGCTAATAAAAGTTTGAAGAGTTCTGTCTTCCAGGATATGCTGCTGTGTAGTGCATTGGAACTTGACCAACTTGTGGAGGAACACTGCCTCAGTATTACATAAGAAGATTGTATCTGAAGGATGAACAGGGCATTTGTTTTTTCGTCTTCTGTGTTAAAAAACATAAAACTTAGAATATACAAAGCTATAATTTTGTCTTTGTTTCTGTATGGGTGTGAAACTTGGTCTCTGACATTAAGGGAGGGACATAGACCGAGGGTGTTGCAGAACAGGGTGTTGAGAATATTTGGACCGAAGAGAGATGAAGTGACGGTAGTTTGGAGAAAACTGCATAATGAGGAGCTTCATAACTTGTACTCTTCTCCAGGTGTAATTAGAATGATCAAGTCAAGGAGGATGAGGTGGGCAGGTCATGTAGCATGAATGGGGAGAAGAGGAATGTATATAGGATATTGGTGGGAAAGCCAGAAGGAAAGAGACCACTGGGAAGACCAAGGCATAGGTGGGTGGACAATAATAAAGTGGATCTTAGAGAGACAGGATGGGATGGTATTGGTTGGATTGATCTGGCTCAGGATAGGGACCAGTGGAGGGCTCTTGTGAACATGGTAATGAACCTTCAGGTTCCATAAAATGCTGGGAAATTCTTGAGTAGCTGCAGAATTGGTGGCTCCTCCAGAAGGGCTCAGCTCCATGAGTGAGTAAGTTAGTTAGTTAGTTAGTTATCTTTTCATGATTTAACGTTACATTTAATGGTAATGAACCTTTGGGTTCTATAAAATGCTGGAAAGTTCTTGAGTAGCTGCAGATTCGGCGGCTTCTCAAGAAGGGCTCAGCTCCATGAATGAGTGAGTGACACATGCCATCATAGCACTGTGGTCCATGTCTGATACAGGTTAGTGTGCTGGACTATGCCCATGCACCTTCACAGTAGTGAATAATAATAATAATTTTTGTTTGTACTTTTTTGAATATGTGAAACTGATTATCTATCTTTTCTTGGAGCAGTTTTTTGGCTGTAATGCATTTGTTTACTTCAGTTGCTTGTAATGTGTTTAGAATTATGTTCTTAGCTATTTGGTCTGTGACCGCCACAGAAACAACTGATTTACAGGTTGGATGTGCAACGAAAACTGGCTTCTCCTGTAATTGGGCGATCACGCAAGTTGCGAGGTCACCGAAGGCAGCTCTCAGACCCCAAAATTCATCCTCCATTCTCACCCATAAAGGAGGATGGCAGCTTGGAGAGCGACTATGACAGGGTATGATAGTACATATGATGCTTTAAGTGTGTTAGCGCTTCTGTCATTTTGAGTATTGCCACAAAATTTTTATGAATGCACCACTGCTTTTGATCATTTGTCAAGTGTTGGGGAACAAACTTTGTGGTAATGTGACACATCTTCAGATCTCCTGGCAAACTCCATAACTGATCTCAGTGGTGTATGCAAGCTCATGGATTGTTCCTCGCTGGTTTCAATGGATGAGTTCTCAAAATTTTTCAACATTTTCTGTCATTTTGCTGGTGCTTGGTCACCCTGAATATTTGTCATCTTCAACTGACACTTGACCAGGCTTTATACTTGAATGGCATTCAAAAACCAATGTCCAGCTTCCAAAAGCCTCATGAAGCATTTCAAGGGTTTTGGTAGCGAATTTACTGGGGTTCTTGCAGAAATTTATGCAGACACATTGCTCAATTTTGCCATCCATTGCAGACAAAATGAAGCACAAAGAAAAGAACCACTTGTGTAAAAATAATGCATGTTGATAGTACAGTGTCACTTGGCAGACTGATGCAATAAGCTTGCAGAAGTGTGACCTTGGCCTGCCCTCTCTTCTTCTTTGACTGAGGCAGTTACAACAACAGTCACTGAACTTTCCAATAACACCTCGTTTATCCATTTAGACTTACCTCTGAAAAGACATAATAAACCACACTGATGACTTACATGTTGCCAGCCACAAAGCAGATGAGGTAGAATGGCTTATTTCGGAACAAGTCTGGAAAATGAGAAGATTCAAACATATATTATCACCTTTTTAGACACACATAGGAATCATTACTACAAGTCTAATACTGCTCATCTTTTGTTAATACTTTTACTCGAATGCATGTTGAACAAGCTACAACATACAGTGCCCATACAGGAAGGATGCACAAACATATCAACAATAGCAATATTTTTACAGCTTTACCCAGTGGTGCACACTGTATGAATATCAATACACTGTAACAGTCCATGTAACAATATCCATAATACATTTACTGCCTGATAACCTTGAACTTAACTACCACCCTGAGAGATGCTCAACAATGTGGCTTTCAACAATTATTCACTCAACATGAAAACTATGAACCCATGAGGATATTTTAACATCATGTCCCATAATAACTTTAATATTTTAGGTTTTAATTGTATAACTTTCAGTTTGATTCCCAAGGCCTTATTTCATAATATAACATCTTACCAATGTAACATTCACCTTTGATAAACATCGCATGCAAAGATTTTTAGTATATTTTTAATTCAATTGTAATACAATTCTTTGTGTATATATAATCTTACCATTGAGAAGGTTAATATTGTAATTTCCTATATTCTAATCTAGACTTACTTTTGTAATATGATTGTGTTGCATTAAGTGTGGGTCCATATTTGGGAGTTCAAATAACTTCACTCGAGTCGTTCAGTCATAATTACTGCCTGATGATGGTCCCATCATGAGCAAAACATGTACTGGTAGGAAAATAAAAATTCAATCTGAATATTGATTTATTTTATAACTATGTGTGTTGTGTTGATGGAGACCTTACCTTGCCATTTGCTTAGAACAATTATATTAATCTGGCACAAATTAACACATGGAATTTGTCTGAAAAATGATCAAACATTTTTAAAAGAATGAGACGTTCATTCCTCCATTGTTCTGTTTTAGTTTAATTCAGATACATAAATAAACAGTGATGACGTGTATTGTTTTCTACTCTGATGCAATTAGAATTTAAAACTACCATTTTTAATTCCATCCCTGTGGCAGGTGAGGGTTTAAATATCCCGTACTTTAAGGTTAAATGCCGCAGTTGATGGGTTAAACTGTTTTCATCATCATCATCATCATCATCATGTACCCACGTGTAATTATGTTAATTTCATCGTTTTCTGCAGGATGCAAATTTTTATATTGAGTGTAATGTCTTGCTAATCCTTTTAACCATTCAGTTGTATAACAAGGGATTAAAATTGCGTTTGGCAGTGCCATAACTTATGAGGTATGGTAACTTTTTTTATTTCAGAGATATCTTCATCCATCTCTGAAACCACCATATAAAGCCTATGAATATGAATCTATTGATGACGTGGGGTGGCGAGCAGAGTGGGATCCATCTCAGTCATACTTGACATCTTCATATGCTGCTGCAGGCGGTGCGCTCCGTGAGACGGCCATCAACAGTGTGCTGGATGAGGATCACTACCTTTCCAGCTCCAGGTACTGCACAGGAAGTTTATTGTCTGTAAAATGTTCATCATTTTGCATGAGTCCATTTAGGTTGATATCAGACAGGAAGATCCATTTTTTTGCTTCTTGGTTGTGATGTTTGAATTGTATAAGCATTATATTCAAGATGTGTTAGTTGTCAAAAGTACAGTGTTCCTGCATAGCAACTTTTGTAAGTTCACTTGGACAACTGCTAGTGGAAAGACACAGAATGATGACACTTTGATAAACAGGAGATAGCGTTCAGGTGTACTTGATGTCAAACCTTTCAGGGGAGCAGGCTGTGATACTGATCACTGTCTGGTTGTTACAAAAGTTAGGTAGAGACTCCCAGTAAGTAAACTGAAGTTTGAAATGGAGAGATTCAATCTCAAGAAATTGAGCTAGAAATTAAAGAAGAAATCAGGTTAAAACCTCAAACAGGTTTGCAGCTTTGGAAAGCTTGGATTTATGATGTGAATATCAGTAGACCATGGGACAAAAATGAAGAGAGTGTCACAGTTTCAGCCAAAGAGGGTCTAGGTTTTTATGAACTGAGGCAGCATGAGCCATGGTTTGACAAAGAATGTTCAGAGCTGTCACATCACAGGAAACAATCCAAGTGGCAGTGGTGTAGAATTTGACCCACATAAATGGAGATAATATGAGCAATGTAAAACATGAAACTAGTAGAAATTATAGGAACAAAAGATGGAATATGTGAAAGACAAAATTAATGAGTTTGCAACACAATAAAACAAGAACATTAGAGACCTGTATAATGGAGTAAATGAATTGAAGAAGGGTTACCAGTTTGGAACCTACTTGGTAAAGGATTACGACAGTGATTTCAAGCATATTTCCCACAACATTTTCGATAGGTGGAAGAACTAATCTCCAGGTCACCAGGTGTTGATCATATTCTGGCAGAACCCATTCAAGTGGGAGGTGAAACATCATGTTCTGAGAACCACAAACTTATTATTTAGGTCGTTCAAATATGATTGAGACTCCCTGCATAACTCTGGAAAAGTAACAGTGTCAAATGCGAGCCGGTGTATGTATGAAGACACACTATAGTGCCACCTATGGCCACGAGATGACGTTGCTACTGCACACAGGTCAAACAGTGCTGCGTCATTCGTGGCGGTGTGCAGGTGCAGTCGTGGACAGCGCTCAGATAACACGGAAGCAGACAATCACGGGCAACGGTGGACTCGGTGGTTTCTCTGGAGGGAAGGAGTGGCTGCTTCACACATTCACACGAGGTTAGCAGCCGTATGTGGGGAAGCAGCACCAAGACTTGCGGGGTAGGACATTCGCCTCCAAGGACGAACTCCAGGCAGTTGTTCAGCAGTGGTGCCGGGATACCCCCAAAGAATGGTTTGCCGTGCAAATACGGAAATTGCTGGAACAATGGGAAAGGTGCATAGACATTGGCAGGGAATACCTCTGATTTAATCTGTATGTATTTTGTTCCAATAAATGGTTACTCTGAAGAAAAAACATTTACTGTCAATCATTTCTGAATGCCCCTAGTTGTTCTGTTTGAAATAAGGAAGAATTGCTTAACAGTGGAAGAGTTTTAATATTGCACCAGTTCACAAGAAGGTGATAATACTGAGCTGTTATTCTGGTATATCACTGTTATCAACACATATAAAATTTTGTTCAGTGTCCTTCTCTCAAGGTGAAGTCCATACGTAGACAAGATTATTGGGGATCATCCGTTGTTTGAGTTTGTTGATGTTATGCCACTTGGTTTCACAGTGTTCAGGTGAACTGTGTGTATGTTCTTAGCAGTGCTACACATGAAGCACTGTTCATGTATATGCATTGAGCAATATATTTCTTGCCTGCAGGTACAGTCTGCGTAGGTCAAGCGATGGTCCAGCTGGAATAGACACACGAAGACGCCATGATATGCGTAAGAATCGCAAACCTCGCTCCTGGAATCCATCACCATATGGCAGTGATGATGATGATGACCAGCTCACTCGAGAAGAAAAGAAAGCAAAGATCAAGGCAGAGATTGCCAGGCGTCGCCAGCAGATTGAGGAGAATGCTCGTCTTCATGAAGAGCTTCTGCGCTTAGCAAGACTGCGGGAGAGTGCGGAATTGGGTTTCACGCCTCACTCTGGACCAGAGTTAGGGCGGGGTGGTGGCTACGGGACATCGAGTGTGCTCAAGTCAATCGATGAGCTCCTGTTTTCAGGGCGGGGAGGTGGTCTCCACTTTGACTACCATGCCCATTCTCCGCGTCGTTCAGAAGAAGACCGCTCAATGGATCGCATAGCTTCCACCTTTCGCACGGATGATTACACAGCTGGGGTTTATGAGCGCCTCTCTGACTTCTCCCCGTTGACAGACTTCACGCTCCATGCTATGCCACTGCTGCCTGACATGCCCACTCGCTCACGCAAACTGCTTGAGGATCTGGGCAGCTCCCCAATCAACGAGTCCATACTCGCACTCCCCCAGAAAGGCAAGTATGGCTCCAGAGTGTACGTGAAGTAGGTGTTTGTCCTCCAGTTTTCTTCATGAGCGTGCATTGTGTTGTGTATCTATGTTTGTCTCTTACAATCCCTGTCCTCTCCAGTCTTGTTTGCCAACGGCTCCTTCAGGAGGCCGCAGAATCAAGATACAGGAGTGTGGACCTATCTAGTGATGCACTGTTGTATATACTGATAATTGTTATTGAGTATTAGGAAGATATTTTACTTGTTTTACTAGTCAGTCCTGTTGTTGGAACTTGAGTGGGCTTGGTGTTAAGCGAATTCTGGAACCTAACTTTCAGCTTTTTCTGTGTTTCCTGGTCACTGAAGATTGTGCTTAACGGTGATCTGATGATGACAGTGTGACCCCAGAGCCCTGCACTTTCCTTCCTGCATGCTACACTGCTTACCACTCTACTGTACTGGTGCATGTAATATATTATTCATTATTAAATTTGTTGAAGAGAGAGCTGGTGAGTTTTTATTCCCTTGCTCCACATCCTGTCATCCATCCCATTCCTTTGTTTTATCTCTCGTTCATCTGTCCATTATAGATATGTGTCATACTATAATTTGATGTGTCAAGTTAGAGAATCAAACCCCAAATACTCTTTTATGAAAACCTGAGCTGGGCTTAAAACATTACTTTTGGTAGTTTTGGTATCGGCACGGTACCACCATAATTGATTGATCAGATTTCAAGAAATCTGGATGTCTCGAAATGGTTTCGAAACCATGTACATCCGTGTTTAAGTGTGTTATATTCTATATTAAGAAAACATTGTTTTAAACTTTCATGCTAGACATCAGGTGTGTTTTAGAGTGTAGCTGCCTGTGTTGAGCAGTGTAGCTTGTCTCTTTATGTTTGTTTGAGAACAGGGCTTTCTAAGAAAGTTTGGGTCTAAGAGGGAGGTAGTGACTGGAGCCTGGAGAAAACTGTATAATGAGGAGCTTCACAATTTGTACCCTTCTCCTAACATTATTGATATAATCGGATCGAGGAGGTTGGGGTGGGTGTGGCATGTAGCTTGCTTGGAAGAGAAGAGGATTGTATACAAAGTTATGGTCAGAAAACCTGAAGGAAAGAGATTAGTTGGAAGACCAAGACATGAAGGATCATGAAGAAAGAGGGTGGGTGGTTGTGGACCAGGTTCTTTTGCCTCAGAATGGAGATAAGTGGTGGGCTCTTGTGAAGGTAGTAATGAACTTTGATGAAATGAAGGGAATTTTGTGATGAGCTGAACATTTACTAGGTTTTGCAAGAATGACTGCTGCCTGCACAGTTCATTTTTTTAAATTCTGTAACATGAATTACATTTCCCCAGTGACTCTTGAGTTATGAGTGAAGATGTGTGGTACTACTTGCGTTTGAACTTCTTCAGTGGGAGCAATGCTAGCCATCCTCCTGTGTTACTGATGCATGCACATGATGCAGTATGAATTTATTAACAAATAACTTGTTTCAGTTGCATTTATTGTTTTCATTCTGTTTTAAAAGAATTTGATATTTATCCTATGTTTGCGTAAGGTTGAACTTCCAATCCATATTGTGAATTTTGTGGTCATGTTTTATGATTTCCATGAGAGTGAAATTATATGTCCCAAAGGTCTGCACATTATAGTTAGGCTATATTTTATGATAATATACCAGGGTCCATGAATAGTTAAGAGATTTGGTTTTATCAACTGTGCAAGTGCAGTAGCTATTGAATTAATCCTAATACTTAACATGTACATCCCTATAGGATAACATTCTAAAATTAAGTATTTAAAAACAGGGTCAGAATATTAATCTTGTCTTGGAAGAGTAAATGCGTGAAAGACTGCATATATTTTCAGTGAAGCATTTGGTTCTTAGGCCATTGTCATCACTCTGTTGAATGTAACTGTTTGTAGTGTCTGTATTTGGCAGGACAAAATAAAACATCATCTTTACCCCTGAAAGAGTTGTAGTGCTTACATGAAGTAAATGCTTACTTGCTTGCCATTGGTAAACTACCAAGAAGCTTGTACTTCTTTGAATTGAAGCTACAGTCATAGAAATGTTGAGGAAGAAGATCTGTTTAGTGGAATTGTGCTGCTGATTGCATTATGTTGGAATTATATAGCGTCTGCTTAGAGGCATGATTTTATTTTGTGAATGAGTGGTCATTCTTCATAAGGTTAAAGCAGAATAGGAACAAGTGGTGGCAAAAACGTGTTGTGAGTTGATTGTATCAATTGGATGTTTCGATAAAATTCCTTGTAATATAGCACTGATGTACATTTTCTGTCAGTTCACATTTTATAGTCAGTTTGTGATTAATTTCTAAGACAGAGATTCTGAAGTCTTATTAATTGGCATGCGAGATATGTGAAATGCAGATTGAAAGGTTCAATCTTCAAAGTTTTACAGTGATACAAAGTGCATGCAAATTTGTTGTTCGTACTCCATGCCTTGTCATCACTGTTGTGTCGAGTTAGTCTTTGGAGACAGTTGTGTTTGCATTTGAGGTTCTTATGTCATTTGATTTTATACTTGTGGCATTTCCACACAAATAATAGGATACATCTGCTTTTTCCTTTTTGGTGAGTACTGCTGTTCAATTTTACACTATTACCAACCTATGACATGCATGATTCTTAAAATTTTTCATCTGTATTTTTGTTTAATTGCAGTTGGCTTGGCTTACATATTTTGTTTATGTGTACATAGCATATATTTTGTGAGCCACATTCAAGTAAATTTCAACTTTCCTTTTGAATTTTTTTATATTATATTATTTAATTAACTTGAATTTTAATTTCTATTACTTTTACTGTTTTTCAGAGACTAAGTTGTTGCTTTGCCCATTGATTTATGGTGTCAAAGAAGCATTATTAAAGGGGGTTATGTGTGCAGCATTGATTTGCATTGACATATTGCTTGATACAGATAACTTTCAAAAGGCACTCTGCTTTCTTTATGCAAAGGCGCTTTGCAATGGATGTGTGAAGCCATATAAACTGATTAATGCTAAAGAGAGTGAAGCTATATTAAGAATCAAGCAAGCATGATTTTAAGCAGGGGACAGACTCTTCAGTTGTGGATTTACTCTCCAAAGGATGCCAGTGCCAGAGGCAAGTTATCACATAGTATGAAGTATTGCTAAAGAAAATAAATTTATTATCACAGACCCTGGTGTGTCATGGAAGTGGCTAAGCTGATGTGCAGTAAAGATGCAGTCTTAAATATAGCACAGATCCCATTCTCAAATTGTATTCTGTGACTGCCAGGAGACACACAGAAACAAGTAGGGGAACAAATCAAGAAAAGTCTGAATATTGGCTTACAGTTGGATGCCCCTCATTGGGCACAACATACCAATTTTCTTGGTATATTCATGAGAACAATGTCAAAGAAGAATTTCTATGTTCTGAACTGCTGAAATGAATAACAAAAGTGATGACAGCAGACTTTGCACCTATACTGAATTAGTTATTTTTATTCCCAATGCATTTCCTGGGATTTCATAGGACCTGTTTGTACTGGTAGTGCAGCTGGGATGCTGGGGCTTTTACCATTCTCATCAAAGAAGGTAAATCCAGTAGAGATCACTACTCGTGTTCATCAAGATGCTTTAGCATCAAGGACTCTTCTGCCTTGTTTGACATGTGTTGGATGGTATCCAGGCCATCAGCTTGAATCAGAAACCTTGTTTTATTTTGAATCAATGAAATAAAATCAACCTTCATCCAACTTCAAAAGACATCGCCATTCTCACACAAAGTGAGTTTACCAAGGTCTAGTTCTATTTGTATATGCAAGCTGGGATTTCCAGTGCTTCGTACAGTAAAAACTGTAGTCTCAAAAACACTACCTGCAATTAAAATTCTGGTTGATGGTAAGCTGCAACAGCAATGTTTGCACAAAGTTATGTATGGCCTTTGAGACTTGAGAGTTGTGCTTTTTTTGGTAATGCTTTTTGTCATGGAATAAATAGTTTGTTTATACTTAAAAGTCTTTGTAAAAGGTAAAGAAAAGTAAAGCTATCTGTGTAACAGGCTCTGAAGGTCCATAGGTTTCGCTTAGTGGGGGGTGGAGTCAACTGGGTCCACTCAGCATGGTGGCCACTGATTGGCCTATTGTAGCCCGCCCCCGGTGATTATGATGATGGAGGATTTGGTGGACTGAAGATTGGCAAGGGAAACCAAAGTACTCGTGGAAAACCTGCCCCAGCACCACTTTGTCCACCACAAATCCCACTTGACCAGACCCTGGATCGAACCCGGGCCACCACAATGGGAAGCCATTGATTAACCGCTTGGGCTATGGCATGGCCACAGGCCCATAGGATTGTGAGTTGTTGAGGCTCCCATGTTTTCTAGACAGTCTGCTCACAGATGCTGGTGAGGATGCCAGCCTTACGAGCCAGCCACCCTTAACCCCCCAGGAAGATTTCCGGTACTCATTTCTTAGTCAGAGTCAATCCTAGGGCCATAGTGTGGCAGCTGGAAGGATTAAATCAATTGAAAAATCCAGTGACCTCATCAGGATTTGAACCCACAACCTTCCAGCTTGTAGCATAGTGCCTTAACCAATTACATTACCATGTGCCCCCTGAAAGCCTTTGGATATTTCAAGCATAAATTTCCTATTAGACTATACTCATACCCATTAACCAGACTGGAAAAGAAACAGAATTTAACACCGTTAATAGCATACGAGTACTATAAAATACATACACTAATCCTCAATACCTTAAAAACAAAATGGACTACCTTTATATACAGCCACAAGAAATGTGAAAAATCACAAAACTCTTCAAAGACATTAAAACAAAAGTATTCTGCACACAAAATATGTTAAGCCCTTGCTGTCAAATATGGCAGAAGTGGCATTTATCGAATTAAATGCCTAGACTGCCCATTCAGTACAAAGGATAGACCAGGAGAACATTCAGTATCAGATACAAAGAACATATTCAGGTTCACTTCAAAATGTTCTGTAAAATTTTGTCAAAAGTCGTTA